TACAGACTCACTCGGTCCTCACAGTCCCCCACGTCCAGGTGTATTTTGAGGACCCTCCTCACTGCGGTCTGAGGAGGTGCACAGCTGGGAGACTGGGAGTAGGATTCACACCCAGACCCCGGGGATCCCGTCTCGCTCCACCCGGACTGCTTTCTCCTTTGAGCTCTTCGTTTGCAGATGGCTCGCCCACCTCCTTCTCTGTCACTGCTCAGGACATAGTTCCTCTTCGGGACCTTCCTTGGCCTGAGCTCGCCAGCACCCTGTGACACGTGGCACCCTGGTGCCTCCTGGACTCAAGCTTCCCGAGGGTGAGGACAGGGACCAGCACAGGCCTGGCTGAGAAGGCCCTAATTAAGGTTTATGCCGTGTCCCGTTTAGCTCCTTCAGGATACTGTGACCTGACCTATCTCCAGAAATTGCAGGTCACACCCAGGATAGGCCAGGGCCTAAGGAGGAGCAGGAAGGTGGCTGCCCTTTCCGCCGTCACATGGGGCTCCCCCAGGCCTTCAACTCCCCTCAGTGGATAATCAGCCAGACCCAGGCAGAGCCAGCATTACGCCAGGGCCGGAAGGGGGAGCCCCAGCCAGCTCCTCTGATAGTTGTGGGGGAGCTCTGTCCTCACTACAGGGAGTCTCTCTCCCTCGGCCTCCATCCGTCACCCAGACCTGTCCACTCTGCCTCCTGAGCGCCTCTCCAGTGGGCCTTGACATCACCGCTTGCTGGATGGCCTACTCGCCCCAGCCCTCCCCTGTGACTCCCAGGGTGGCGTCTAAAGGGAAGCCCTGCAAAGACCAGGGCAGTCTCTATTTTATTTTCTTGTGTCATACCTAGTGCAGGACTTCTGTGCTTCAAAGGATACCAAGAAAGTGAAAAGACAAACCACAGAATGGGAGAAAATATTTGCAAGTCACATGAAAGTGGATGGAAAAGGGGTTCTATGGAAAGTAATCTGACAGGGTGATCTGATCATAGTCCTTTAACTGGGCAGGTCATGATGGGTGTTATGCACCAGGCATATGAATTCTTAAGTAAAAAGTTTCTTTGCCTGAAGCAAGCCGTGTGTGTGTGTGTGTGTGTGTGTGTACGGTAGGTTAACATACCTTTGAAATAACCACCCTCATCAGAGCACAATCTGGTTAACCACTCTGTATTCCAATCCCTGGGGCTTGCTTTCTCCCACCTTCTTATAGTCTTCCTTACACCCCCCCTTAATTTCAGATGCTTAAAAACACCCCGCAAAACTGCCATTCTGCAGAGCATCTGAGATCTTGTTTCCTGGCAATTATCATCAGTTTGGCTCAATAAACTCCTATAAAAATTCTCTACAGGTTTGGACATTCTTATGTCGACATAGACAATATAAAGAACTCTTACAGCTCAACAATAAAAAGACAAAAATCCAATGATAAATGAGCAAAGGAGCTGAACAGACCTCTTACCAAAGAAGATAATCAGCTGCCAATAAGACATGAAAGCCACTTAACATACCAGCCACCAGGAAAATACAAATCAAAACTACCACTTCCCACCCACTGGGATGGCTACAATAGATCGGGAATACCAAGTGTGGATGAGGATTTGGAGAAATTGGAATCTTCATGCACTGCTGGTGGGACTGTGAAATGGCGTGACGGCTTTGGAAAGTAGCCTGGTAGTTCTCAAGGGATTAAACCCAGTCTTGCCACCCTGGCGCTACTCACGGGAAAGTGGACGCTGCGAAGCAGAGAATGGAGATCAAGCCCAGGCCCACACTGGCCTCGTCCCAGCCGTCCTGGGCACATTCCCCAAACACGTCCCATATCCACTGGGAGCCGTTGGGGCAGCTGGAGAAGTTGCCAGAGCCCAGTTTCTTCCCGACCATGCTGCGAGGGCGGAAGGGAGGGTGCTGGTGCGCTGAGGCAGGCGAGGGCTCTACAGGGAGAGAGAGGGGGCTTTAGCCTTGGAAGGTTGGGGTGCTGGTCATGGTGCTCCCAACCTAAGCCCATCCCAGCTTATCACCTGGCACTGACTGAGCCCCTGGACCACAGGACACCATCAGCCTGAGCCCGTGGTCGGCAAACCGACCAAAATACCATGTGCGGGCGCGCACGTACAGTGCGACTGACACTTCGTGGCCCATGCGCAGAAGTTGGTATTTTGTGGAAGAGCCACATTCAAGGGGCCAAAGAGGGTCGCTTTGGTTGTAACTCCTGAACGTTCAGATTGTTTCCAATCTTCTGTTATTGTAAATTACGCTGTGAGGGTCGCAGAGAGCAGGCCCATGGACTAGGCTTGTCACCAGCATTGGTCTGTGGGCAAAATGAAAGGGGTTTCTGTGGAAAGTACCCCACAGGGTGATCTGATCATAAATTCCTAACGGGGCAGGTCATGGGGGGGTGTGATGCCTCAGGCATATAACTTTTTAGTGCAAGGTTTATCTTTGCCTTAAGCAAGGGGCCCATGGACTAGGCTTGTCACCGGCATTGGTCTGTGGGCGAAATGAAAGGGGTTTCTGTGGAAAGTACCTCACAGGGTGATCTGATCATAAATTCCTAACGGGGCAGGTCACGGTGGGTAGGTAGTCAGCCCAGGCATATCACTTCTTTAGTGAAAGGTTTTAAGCCCTGTCCATTGTTCTTGGGTTAAAACACCACTGAAATACTGGAAATAATAACACTCCAGGCGTAACCACCCTCAGGAAAGCACAGAATCCTATAATCCACTTTCTCCCCTCCTCAAGTAATCTTCCGTACGTCCCCTCCTTCATCTCCAATGCACGAAACAAGCTGCCAAACTGTCCTTCTCCAGAGCGTTTGAGCTCTTGCTCTCAGGCACATGTTGTCAGTTTGGTTCAAGTAAACGCTTTAGAAACATTCTCTGCAGGCTGGCACGTTTCTCCCATCACAAGTCAGGTGAGGCAGGTGAACCCCGAGGTTGCACAGGTGGCTGGGATGCAAGCCATCTTCTCCCAGGAGCTCACCTGTGCGGAGTGCCTGCTGGCAAGGCGCCCATGCCACCTCCCCATTCTCACCACTGCCCATGCCAGAAGATGGCTGGCTCCAGGGCAGGCCCCTCCCGGTGCCTGGGCACCCTGCTCGTGTGACAACCCCAGGGAAAGGGGAGCCGGCGGAGCCAGGCGGCACCATCCCCACCAGGGAGAGTCGCCACAGCCCCACTGCCGAGCTCTTTGCCAGCTGTGCTGATTGCCTGCCTGCATATATGCCTCTTGTCCTCCTCTCGGCTCTATGAAGTAGAGGAGCCAGGGAAGTGGCTTGCCAGGGCCTCCCAGCCAGGAAGTGGGAGAGCCATGAGTCAAAGCCAGGAGGAGCAGGACCCAAACCCCTGCCCAGAGCCACCGTGCCACACAGCCTCAGGCGCTGTCCCTGGGCGGGCGGAACCCACCTGTGGCCTGGCTTCCCTGCCCGCTTCTGCGCAGACGCGAGGCAGGCTTCCCCTTTTCTCCCTGCTGGGAGGGGTTTTCCGCATGAGTGGGCGCGAGGCTCCTCCAGCTCCCTCTAGTTCCTAGTCCTGTCAGGAGGCCTGGGCTCCTCCTCAGGCGATGCCCCGGGCCACAGACTGAACACCGATGTCTTCGAAAATTCAACCGACCCCCCAGTGTGATGGCATGAAGAGGTGGGGCCTGTGGGAAGTGCTCAGGTCAGCAGGGCGGAGCCCTTGTGAATGGGATTACTGCCTTCTGAGAGGAGAGAACTCTCTCTTCCTCTCTGCCATGTGAGGACACGGTGAGAAGACAGCCATCTATGACTGGGAAGCGGACCCTCAACAGACATTGGATCTGCTGGCACCAAACGGACCTGTGTTGTTATAAGCCACGGCAGCCCCAATGGACTAAGTCATCGGGACTGGACCCGGGAACTGCTGAGGTCACAGCTGAGAAGCAAAGGAAGCGAGTCAGCTTCTCTGCTCAGGAAGCTCTAGGCTCTTAGCCCTAATGTGACCAGTAGTGGGCAGAGGCCCCGGAGCCGGGACAGGGGCACCTCAGGCCACTGTCTGCCCGGCTCACTGCAGCATCGCCAGGGCCCAGCGGGCATGGCTGACAGCCTCTTCCTGTACCCTGGTGACCCACCTGGATGCCCTTTAGCACAGCTGATGCTGCTGGCGTTTCCCTGATGTCCTGCCCCCAGCACCAAAGGCGTTTCAAATCAAGTCCTTTTGCTCCCCAGACACCCCCGAATTGGACTGCCCCACCCTCCTCTTATAGATTCCAAACGTGCCATTCTGTTCATCATGTTAGATTGCCATCCTCGGCACTTACCTGAGAGGTGGGGAGTGCTGTCCCATTTAAGGGCGAGTAGCTCTGGACAAGCACGTAACCTGTCCGAGCCTGTTCAGAACAGGATAAGAGGCGCCCTCCGTGGGCTGATGTGCAGATGAGATGCACATACAGGCTAAGCCAGGGCCTGACAGTGCCGGTGGTGGCAGTTCTGTGGGTGAGAGTCCAGTATCTCAGCGACCCTGAGGCCACTCTCACGCCCTCTTTTCATCAGGTTGGGAAGAAGTGAGGTGGACACATGCCCAGTGAGGGAGGAAGGGGTCCTGAGGAATGTACCTGGCTCACAGGGCCCAGGGCATAGGTGGGTGGTCCCCAGTCCATGCTCAAGAGCCCTGAACAGAAAGGGCCTTCCTCTGAGGACTGCTGTGCAGAGGGCCTGTCACCCCTCGGTTCTGACTCAAGCAGGGAACCAGTGTGGCCCAGGCCTGGCTTGTGGAAACGGGCCCACCTAGTCACGTAGCACCGAGGGGACGGATGTGCAGAGTTGCAACCAAGCTTGAGGGCATCCGTAGGATTGACAAGGACCACAGCTGGGGTGCCTTAGGATCAAGGAGGGCACATGATCAAAATTCAGGATCAGTATGTCTGGGTTGTGGATCAGGGACCTTGGGTTTAAGAGGCCCCCCCAGCTGATTCTGATGCCCGTGGCCACAGAGGAAGGCTGCGCTGGAGAAGGCATCTCCTGCCACACCCAGCTCCTCTCCCGGCTCGTAGCTGAGTCAAGGAAATGGTTTCCACTGAAGCTGCTCAAGGGACCTTCACCTACCAGATCAAGTCCATATCCCAAGGTACTTTGAGAGCTGCCCTCCCCTTATCTCCTGTCCGTGCCCAGGTCTTCAATAGTCATTCTCCAGGCTTATTTCTGCACATGCTGTCCCATCCCCTAGGGCTGTCCTCCCCATGAAGGGCCTGGTAGGGATACTAAGATCAAGCTATCAATTGTCCTCTCCAAGGGCTGGCTGGACAACACCCGCCACCTCTTCCTCTCCCCTCACCCACAAACCTGCAGAATGCTTCCGACACGCCTCAACGATCATGACTCTTTAAGCCCAACCTTCCCCTCCCACCTAACTGTAAACTTAGGAGTCCACACATCCCAGCTGCGCAGTCAAAATATGGAGAGAGGATGGGAGGAAGAGAAACAAGAAAAGATCTTGTTAGGAGCTCAGATGGCCTGAGGATGAGGAGAAGGCACTCCACTCTAGAACTGACCCGCCCGATGCCTACAATACAGAACTCTTGGGCAGGTGATGCAGCCTTAGAGTTCCAACCTGAGAACTTGGAACGTGCAAGTCCCCACCTCCCTGGCTGCCTGCACAGTTACATGGGGTAACCCAGGCCACGCGAGGAGAACGGTGCCTGGCACTAAACACTCAGTGGTAATAGCCATGGATGGTGACTATTACTCGGTTCTGGCCGCAGTGCTCGCCCAAGCCCCCTACAGGGCCCCTGGAGCACGGCAGCCTTCAGCAAGGGCTGAACGGACAAGACTGGCGCCAACCCTCACCACTTTCAAATGCAGCCTTCCACGTACACACTCCAAAACCTGCCCTGGGCATGGGGTGGGCAGCGCGCAATCAGTGCTCCCTGCAGACCTGGGGAGTACGGAGAGGGGAGGAGCGTCCCGGCCGCGGATACCACCCACTCCAGGCCTCCTGGTTCTGGGCCAACTCGTGACTCAGCCCAGCGCTGGCCGCCTGTTTGGCGGGGATAATGACAGGGCAGCCGCTGGGGTCAGCGCTCCACCGCCGCGAGGCCCCCTCCCCTGGCCCGCCCAGGGGAAAACGAAGCCATCAGAATCCGGGACCCAGACCCCAAACCCTGGCCAGGCCCGTCCGAGAGGCCACGCTGGTCGCCCCAAAGGAGGGGGACACGGCCCCCCGAGGGCCACCCAATGCTGGCTGAGATCCTCACCTGGGATCTTGCGCTCCAAAGGAGAGGACAGGGGCTCCGGGCCGGCCCGGCGGCGGGAGGGGGCGCCGTGAAGATGTGGCAGGGAGGCACCAGAGCC